GGGCCGGGCCGGGTCCCTCGGAACCCGCCGCCGGCGCGGAGCGGGGGCCCGAGCAGCCGGGGGCCGTTCCCGAGGGAGGTGGGGCCGTTCCGCCGCGGCCAGGGGCCCGGGCCCCGGTGCTGCGTCACGTAGGCTGCGTTAGAGCCCCCGCAGGGCCTGGGGCAGGAGGCTGGACGGGGCAAACGGGGAACGATCGGGGGTTTGATCTTAAAATTGGAAAGGACGTGGCCTGCTTAAAAACCGCTTTGCTGTTGTAAGTTTACAGGTTTAAAAGACGCAGTGACTTTTCTTCACTTGCCACTTGACGTTCGCTGTTACATTTAAAAATTTTGTCTCGTTGTTTTATCTCTTTTGCTTGTTTGTATCGGTTGTTCACTGAGCAGAAGTGGAGGGAGGAAAAACCAAATTGCATTTTATCTCATGGCACACAACGTGAGTCGGAAAACCTGAAACCCACTTACTTGCTGGGGATTAAATTTGAAGTTGATAGTATGCCTCCGAGCACATGCCTACACAGAATCACACAGGTTTGCTTGCAGTGGTAGTCAGGGCAGTCACCAGCTTTTCGTCTGAATAAAGGCATTTCCGCATGTTATTCTTTATGGTCAGAGTCTTGCTACATGTAAGCCAGACTTAGGTTTGATTTGTGAGTCACTCCTATGATATCCTTGTAGCATAGAAGATTACAAGGCTTGTCTTGTACCAGCCAGGATGCTTGAGTGTTTCTTACTAGGGTCTTGACATCAGCAATTGTTTTGAAGTTGCTGGAAGGCTCCTTGCACATTTTTCAGCTGAGGTAGAAGGAGCAGTGTGTTCACGTTGTTAATTATAAGGGACAGTTTGTTTGTTCTTTGCGTTATTAACAATTTTAGCCCTTCCTGTTCCTGAAATGAACAATTGACTTTATGGTGAGTGTTGAACACCACGGCGCCAGATGGAGGCTGGTGAGAGAGGGAGCAGCTATGGAACCAAAGTTCTGCCTGGAATTGTTTCATTGTCAAGTGAATCAACTGTTAATGCATCTGTGTTTTAAGGGAGAGGATTGTGAAGAGGGCCTTGTTACAGTATCAGCGCCTTGATGTGCAACTACCTTTCAATTGCTCCTCTTTATTTTTTTTTTTCCCTATCGGAGTGTTTTAAAACAGATTATGTCTAGAAGAGGGAAGGCTTCTACAGTGTACTTCTGTGATGTCCAAGCTCATCTATTGATACTTCCTTTGTAACTCCATGGTAAAACAGCTTCTGAGAGTATCACTTTGGTTACTACGTCATCTGGATCCAGAGGTCACTTTTAAGAAAATGTGGACTGCCAAAGGTCTTCGTAGTGCTCAAATAATGTTGCTTCAGTTGAAAGCAAGCAGACTGTGTAATTGCATGTTTCCAAAAGCTCAGCAGTACTGGATTGGAATTCTAAACTTTTGCACCATAAGAGCACCACATAACGGAGTTAAGCTCCAGGTAAGTGTTTTTGTGGTGCTCTAGATATAAGTGATGTGCGTCAATACAGTGATAATATAAATTCTGTTAGAATCTACAGAGCTAAGCTTTTGGTCTCGCAGCCTTATTTATGAATTGAAGATGCCTTAGTATATTGAGGTAAATGGACAGACAGCAACAAATTGCAGGAGAACCAGTGTTTCAGAAAACTTTTTGTGTTTGATAGTTCTAAGTTGGGGAGAAACTTTTTTTTTTTTTTAATTTATACTTTAGACAGTACTGCATGATAACTGAAAGGTATATTAGTTAGAGACAACTGTTTAGTGAAGAATAGGACCAGAGTTCTCTGGAAAACGTTTTAATAATGCATATTGCACAAAAAAGGGAAGAAAAAAGTCAATTTTTATTGGATTCGTAAGGGACAGCAAAAGCATAAGAGCTTGATTATAAAAATATCTGTGGATATACACAAACATAGTGGGAAAGGACACAAAAGTAAGGCTAATCTTGGGCACTGACAGTTCCAAATGGCAGTGTTTTTCTAGATGTCTTAAGCTTTTATCTTTAAAATAAAAGTTGCAGCATGTAGGAGAGAAATAGTGGAACATTGTGGTTTCAACTAGTTTAGTGGGGGCTGAGCAATTGAGAAATGAATCTAGATGGTTTTACAACTACTTTAACTTTATTAATCTGTCATAAGATGAACGTGATTTATCCTTAATTTACCTGTTGTTTCTCTTTTTGATAGTAATATTTGGCTGTATGATTGTAGGTTTCCAAGATAAATGATAAACAATCAGTATTAGATCCAAGAATGGCTACTAGTGCAGGTGGAACTAAAATAGCTGCTGGAAAAAGTCCCAGTGGGGTATACGATGGAAGCCAACATTCATTAGAAGGTATTGAATCTTTTGCTACTCTCCTTAAGAAGTCAGCTTTCCCTGTCCACTCTAGACATCTTGTATTAATGATCAAGATGGTCTAAACTCTTGAACTTAAAGGTTTTGTTAGATTCGATGCATTTATTTTTTAGTTTTAAGGGGATTATCTACAATTTTTATAGCTTGCAAAGACTCATGTAATTTTCCTGTCTTAATGGCTGATTGGATATGCACAGATTATTTTATATTATTATATCTTTTTTTTTTTTTTTTCTGTAGTATCACCAAACTCTTACAATGCTTATTTCGTGTGACTGGATAGATGCAAAACTTGGTTTTCCTGTTCTTTTGATAGCAGCTGTGGTGACTCTTAAGTAGAGAGCAGTCTGTTGGATGGGTTACTGGTTTGTGTGAGCCTGGTTTTGACTGGGAAAATCAATTTCTTGAGTATTCACTGAAGACTATAACAAGTGTGTGATGCTAGTGAACTTTTTTTTTTCTGTTATAAATGTGAAAAAACAAACATTCCTGTGTGAGTGGTGGTTTTGGATTCAGGAAAATTAGTAGCTACAACTATGACCTTTATTTTAGCAATGTTGTCTGACTAAACAGTTCTTTCCCCATAACTTTGCTTGTCTTGTCATTCCTAGCTAATAACTAATCCTCAAATGTGCTGTTATGCATCATACATTTTAGCTCTTATGCTTCAGGGTGCTTGGTCATTCTCATTCTATGTATATTTAATTTTTGTTTGTAAAGGTATTTTAGTCAGCTGCTTTGGGCATTTTCAGCTTTTGTTTACAAATGGGATGACAGGGAGGTAGTTATGACTGGTTAAGACACTGAGATCGTACTCTGTTTATACAATTATATTGCTCAGGAAACAGCAGTATGAGAAACTGTTGTGCTATTTCGTGTGATTGACAATTAGGAAGACAGTACCTATCTTGAAAAAGCTGTATTGTACTGTACCATAATTCTGTAGAGGCTTTTCTCCTTACATACATTCTCTTGTAGGTTTGCATTGCAAATGGATGAGATACTGCTGAGTAAACAGAAATGCCCCCCCGC